TGGAGAGAGGGGTATCAAAGAATTCGTGGACATAGTTTTAAGCCACCACAGTCTGTTGGGAGTCCCAACTGCCAGTAACAGAAAATCCATTCCCAAATGAATGAGCAATAGTGGGAAGACTTTTGTTCCCGTAATGAAAAGACCCTGCAGGTAGGTGAACTTGGCGAGCAGTGTCTTCAGAGCTCTGACTCCATTTATCTGTCCTTCCCTCTGTGTTGAATCACCCTCACCCAGCTTTCCACTAGCAAAAGCGCCTGCAATATCACTAGACCTCCTCGACATACACCGCACCTTTCAGAACAAGTGAGCAGGGCGCTGCTCAGCACCCCAGCAGAGTTCTGAGATTCATTCTGATTGGATGGGCTTAGGTCACATGCTCATTCCACGTCCCAATCCAGGTTCTGGAATGCCTTGACAGACTTCAGGGCTCCACCCCCAAACCAGGGTCCAGAAATCACATCCCTGAAACCACAACAGAGAAGAAAGGTTGTAGGAGAGGCAACCACAAATATGTACTACAAGAGTCAGAGGAGTTTTTGTCAGCTTTGAAAAATATGGAATAAACAGCATTTTTGTCATCTGAAAGCAAAGGAAGTAATAGAGACATAGAAGTTGAAAAGCAAGGGAGTACAGTCATTCAACACATAAAGACTTTGAGTCAGCGATGGGCTATATGCATATATACATATACGTGTGTGTGTGTGTGTGTATATATATATATATAGTGCAAGGGCATATATATACATATGCAAATGATGAGAGAGAGGGAGGGAGACAGAGAGATGGGGGAGAGGCATGGTTGGGGGGGAAAGAGAAGAGGGTCAGGAGATAAATGAGGAAGAAGTCACGAGAACGTTTTTTATATATGTCATGTTACAATACCATGTTTTTACCGTACCTTTCTATGTTTAGATACACAAATAAATTCCATCGTGTTACAACTGCCTAAAGTATTCATTACAGTAACATGCTGTACAGATTTGTTACCTAGAAGCAATAGACTATACCATAGAGCCTAGGTGTGCCATAAGCTATACCGTCTAGGTTTGTGTTAGTACACCCGAAGATTTTCACACGATGACATCACCTAATGACACATTTCTCAAAAGGTATCCCCATCAGTAAGTGGCACAACTAAAAAATGTCCCCCAAATGATTCAAAAGCCCGGGGAAAGTGGATCATGTTAGTAGGACGTGGGAGAACCACTTTGCTTCTCTGAGGTCAGGGACAGCAAGTAGGAACATGGGAGAAAATATGGTTGCTTTGAGGCAAAGTAGACGGAGAAGAAACGTAAGCTGGCAGCTACAGATGTGAATGAAAGAGGTGATGTCACCAGCTGACAATGAGGAAGGAGAGTGAACTAGGGCATTTCAGGGGCTAAGATAGATAGAATGGACTGTCTTGGAGGCTAAAGTTTAATGATGCTTCTCATAGCAATAGAGCTAGAAAAACTCTACTATCAAAAGAAGCATAAGCAAGACTTGAAGAGCTAGAAAGTTCTGGTGGAAAATAAAACATAAATAACACTGTAACAGAAGATAACAGGCTGAAGGAAAACAGAACCTAATGGAGAAAGAGTTTGGAAATGCAGCAAGTATGAGGAAGCAGGAGTTTATGGAAGACTAAAAAAATGGTAACAATCAAGAATAAGATACTCTAATCTACCTTTCAAAACTTAAACATATATAGCATATTACTCTTTCCTCTGCCAGATAATGCATCACAGAGTATTAGGGTTAAGTATGAGAAATTTAATTCCTACTACTGTTGCTTAAATGTTAGCTAAGATAGAAGGTAGAACAGCAACTTCTTTTTTGTAATTTAGTATGTAGATTAGCAAAGTGAGGTTTTTTCCCTTTATTTCATACTGAAATTGTTATACTAAAAAAAAATCACTCTTCACCATAGCCTAGCTGCCTTCTGAGAAGAAATCCTTGCCCTAAAATAAAAAAAAGAGGCTTTGTGTTTATATTCACACTCATCTGATTTAGAGTTTTGTTAAGCAAAAGCGGCATGAAATAAAAATAATAAAAATATTTGAAAAATCTAAGCTTGAAGCACAGGGTCATAAAGAAGGGCAACCTTGGTTCAGCTTTCCTTAGGTCTGTGACCTTGATAGAGGACTTTGATTTGGAATTGGCTGATGGGTTCCGAAGAATGACATTGTTTCAAGTATAATGGGAATTTTGAGTGAAAAAAAGAAACATCCTGCTGGACATATTTAACCTTCAATTTTTCCTATTACAAGGCTCAAGGGATCCAACAGACTAGGACCATATGATATTAAGAAGGGCTTATTCTTCTTCATGAGGGCAAATTTCTTCTACTAGCCCTTCCCAGGTACACAAATTGCTTTCTACTGAAGGTTGTTAATTGTCTTGGGAAACACTTCATACCTTCTTAATACCAAACTCTCAAGAAAGCATAAGATAAGTGATTAGCAAAGAACAATTTCTGTTTCTTTCTTTTTTTTTTTTTTTTTTTTT